ACTCAGTCATCCTGGAGGGGCTCAGAGTAGACCCGCTGCTCCTGCACTCGGGCATCAAGTTAGGATGCCTCCTAGACGCCGTCCTGGTGAGGTTTTCGGGCATGAGACAGCATACCAAATGGCCAATTATTTCATCAAAATGACCAGAAGTTAACTTTTAACGAAGGCCTAAATCCTTCATACAGGTCAATCTGACACCGTGGTGCCGATATGAAGTCTATGAACTTGCCCCAATATTCTTAACTTATCCTGTGGTATGTCAGAGCATCCATGGGCATCGCACCCGTGGGGGATGTGGGTTTTTCTATTGAGGAGGTCAAACATCCACACTTTTCCCGCAGTTCGGTCCCTCTGTGTTTCCCTCCCTCTCTAGTTGTTAATTGAAACTCGCACCTTTGCGCTCCGGTGTTGTGTCAGTATTCTGGTCAGTCCCATTGTTCTCCACTGCTCCGCACCGCCCAAGTGGCGAAAATGCGTGCACTGCTGTGCTCTTTACAAGCTAGCTCCCGCGGTGCGCTCTGGTTTTGGTTTTAGATGAGCCACAGATCTAAGTTGTGTGTTTATTTATGAAAATTTTGTAGAATCCAGCTGCACTGTGCCAACGGAACAAGCTCTGGTGTCACGTTCAAATTAACGAGATGAGCATCTCTTGTCTGAAGATGGCAGACGGAACCAGAACCCAACAAACTTGGGAAATTCCTGGTGGGCCGATCTGAGGTTGCCTGTGTCATATTTTTGTTAAATTCATTTCTATAAACTATATCCTTAAATTAATATGAAGTGTGTGTTTCCCTGAATAATCCAAATAACATAAGGTCATATTAAATCAAATATTCAATGACCAATCAGATTGATGATTCATATTTATATGGAATATCACATCTTTTTGATCATTTATTAAGTGTAACCCCTTCCATCACATTATAATGTCAACGAGAAAGGAAGACCCAGGTCAAGCTGGAGAGACTATGTCTCATGGTGCCATAAAGCTGCCATAAAGACTGGCGGAGAACTGCAGTGATGATTGACTTTCTACAATTTTCTCCCATCTCCTGACTGCTGGAGCTCAGCCACAGTGATCTTTGGGTTCTTCTTCACCTCTCTCACCAAGGCTTTTCTCCCACAGTAGCTCAGGTTGGCGGCCTGCTCTAGGAAGGGTTCTGGTCATCCCAAACATTAAGGATTATGGAGGCCGCTGTGCTCTTGGGAACCTTAAGTGCAGCAGAGATGTTTTTGTATCGTTGACCAGGTCTGTGCCTTGCCACAATTCTGTCTCTGAGCTCTTCAGGCAGTTCCTTTGACCTCATGATTCTCATTTGCTCTGACATGTGAGCTGTAGGTCTTATATAGACAGGTGTGTGCTTTCCTAATCAAGTCCAATCCATATAATCAAGCACAGCTGGACTCCAATGAAGGTGTAGGACCATCTCAAGGGTGATCAGAGAAATGGAAAGCAACTGATATAAATAAATGTGTCACAGCAATTGTCGTTGTTTCCTTGGGCAAGACATGTAACCCCCCTTGCCTACTGTTGGTGTTCAGAGGGACCGGTGGTGCTTGTGTATATATGCCTCACGTCTGTCAGTGCACCCCCGAGCAGCCACCAGGTTGTGAATGTGTGTGTGAATGGGTGATTCACTAATTGTGTTGTAAAGCACCTTGGGGGGTTCCAGGACTCTAGAAGGTGCTGTATTAAATACAAGCAATTTACCATTTACCATTCCAAAATAAATCAGTTTATCAATGTGCAGAGCACCTGGAGAAAGCCCATCTGACCATGGGGAGAACATGTTAACGCCATGCAGAACGCCTGAAGCTGGGATTTGAACATGCAACCTTTGTGGTGCCACATGCACCACCATGCAGGTTGGTCTAAAATATAACTTTAGAAACATAAAAAATAAAGGTGATTCAATAAAATGTCAGATATGACATTTTAAATCATTCGCTGTCAGCTGTTTCCTGAGCCCTTCGCTGCCAACGTTTCTCAGCGTTTTTACTGTTTGTTTAAGAGTCACAGAACATTGCGTGCTGGGATGATGTCGATGCCAAAACAATCAAAACAAAGAGGAGCCTCACCTCTTACATCAGGAAGAGTCCGTGCATTTCGAGCGTTCTTTCATAATCCGTTGTTGAATTGTGATCGGCAGAAGCTTTTCCGCTTTGCGCCTCACTTTTTTTTACAGCAACGGCCCAAAAAAAATCTCCTAACACATGGATTTTCTGCTTCCTGATCACGTGACGTGTGACGTACGCGCAAGAAGATCGGCTTTAGAGCTGAGATCAGTAGCGGTTTTAGGCACGGGCAGACAGGGCAGTTGCCCGGGGCGGCATTTTTTCATGACACAAAAAGGGCGCACAAGCGCTGAGTAGAAAAAAAAAAAAAAAAGGAAATCTGCGCCGCACCGAGGTTTTCTATTATCTGTCATATGACCGTGTCTGGATTGGAAACAGCACGTTGGCGCCCCCTGCAGCTGCAGGCGCTCCGTGCGCCGTGTGTGTATGAAGAAGAGGTTGGGGAGGGGTGCGGCGGGGGAATTCACCTCTGGGTGGGTCCAAATGAAATGAGCGGGTAGGGGCTGAATCAACTATCAACATGGCTAAAGTCGATCACATCTTGATGTTCTTCCACATTTCATTCATAATATCATAAACACAGGCCTATCATTCTTTCAGGTGTTTCTGAATTGTGTGAAATGGCCGAATAAAAAAAGGAAAAACAAAACGATTTTGTGGTCACCCCCCATCAAGGTCAAATTGTTTAGTCCTGACTAAAGGAAACTTATTGAGTCAAGAGCCAAACAGAAGAGATGAACATAAAAAGGCTAAAACCAACAGGTGCCCGATTCAGGAATAAAAAAGAAAAAAAGAGGAGAAAAATAAAGGTATGTACGCTCTCATGATGAATGTTTTCAATTTTTTGAACCAGTTAACCGAGATTTTAACGGTTAAATTCGGTCAACTAGTTGCTAACAGAGCTAATAGGGCTGAAATATTGAAACGAATATTCAAATGGTTCGAATAAATTCCTTGGATCGTTTTTTACTGATTCAAACTAGGATTTGTTAAATGCTCGCTGCAGCCTGTGGCCTGCCTGAACAACAACAAACACATGTTGATCAAGTTCACGTAATAATAAATAAAACAACTCTACAAGCAGAAGAAAACTCCCCAGTCACCACTAACTATCCTGTTTATTTATTGCAGATGGCTGCACTGATTATTTTTTACCTGGTTTGTTCTGTAAAAGTTGGCATTTTTGGTAGTCTACAGTTTTTTTATGTCAGTTTAAATTACAATTTCAGAGGCAATTCTAAAATATTATGGATCATGATAAAGATCTATTGGAGATCTACCCCAACTTTTGGACTGCTCTGCCAGTCACTGTGGCTCAAGCTGAGAGGAGCTTTTCAAAACTTGATCGTCGTACCTGAGGTCAGCTATGTTTCAGGGGCGGCTCACTAACCTGGCTCTGATTAGTATCAATCACTCAGTAGGGGAGCAGATTTCATATGATGACATTATTGATGACTTTGCATCAAGGTTAGGTTTTAATTTTAGTTTGTGTTTTCTGTTCTAAGTGCAGTGCTGTAGTGATTATCTTTAGTTTGTTATGTGTGAAATATTTTTGCTATTTAGAATATTTATTATATATTATGTGCATATATTCTTAATATTTAGTTAGTTTAGTTGTTTTTGTATATTTGATTCTATATATTTTGATACAGTATATAATGTATATTGCTTTACATTCTGGCAACTTCATAGTAATTAATGTAAATATGTGCAACTTAGAAAAATGAATGTTCAATAGTCGTTCTAATAAAACATGCCTGTTTGTAGAAAACGTGTGTGTTCGTGCAGGTGGGGTGGTGTGGTGGTGGTGGTGAGGGCGGTTGGGGGGGCGCTCAAAGGGGGCCTCGCCCGGGGAGTAATTCCATGTAGAACCACCACTGGCTGAGATGTTTGTTCTCACTGTGCGGGGGCTCGTTCCAACGCCCACACAGTAAAAAATGCTAATGACGACTTTAGTCGTCATTGGCAGTGAATGAGTTAAAAAAAAATTTTTTTTGTTGCCTGAACTGAATAAATAAATAAACCAAATTAAATATAAATGTTAAGTTTTTTCTTGGTGAGGACGATGAAGGTTCATCAGACGGTGTGTGGCTGTAGCCCTTCAGGTGCTGTGTTAGAAAGTGACCTACAGGAACAAAGCCTTGTCGCTGCAGTCCCACCATGTGACACCAGCTGATTTACACTAACGCCCAACCAACTCTTCTTCCTCTTCAGGATAAATGTTAGTTTCGGCCTTGTTTCTCTATCAGCCCTGGTCTCTACATAGACGGATGAAAAAAGCAATTACCTGCAGATGCAGCAGTGGCTGACATCGTAATGGAGGCGGCATCGAGAAGTAGAAACAGTTTCTTTCATCATTCCATCCATCTCGTCACCCATCTTCACACATCCATAACCGTTTGTTTTGCAAGGGTTCAGGCTACAAATGGGCTAGTTGGCACTGCCGACCTTAAACATCTCTAACTCTTCACTTTCTTTTCACCATAAAGCCTTAAAGGGTCATCTGTGCATTATGTCCAGTTGGTGCTGCTCTCGGTGAGGGCTAACACTTCTTCATGAGCCACTCAAAGCTCTTGTGCCCTCCAGAATCTCATATGGAAGAATAATGAGCTCCAAACCAGCAAAACACACACAGCAGCTGAGTTATTCTGAAGAATAATGTCATTATCTGAGCATTTACAGTATCTGATGAACTCCAAAGGAGCGTGGGGAATCTGTCTTCTGTCCTCATTTCTGACATCAAAATAAAATTACAGCAATATAACATATGAATAGATTACTGATTAGGAAGACAATTGAACTGGGATGGAAGATTCAGCGAGGGAGCTGGGCGTCTTGTTGGATGCTAATCAGAGTATGATCACGTAAACATTTCCACCTCGGCTAATGAAGTGTGAATTGATAACCATGTCCTCCAGAGAAATCAGGTGACAACATAAAAAAAGAAAACATCTGAACAAGATACAGACAATTAAACATCTCTCATTTTCTGCCAGAAGGAATTGGAGGCACTAGTTTTACTCCATCTTCCGAGTCCATCGTAGGCTCAGGCATTTCATTTGTTTCAAGAGTTGGAGAAAACCTTCGAGATCTAGTTTCCCTCCTCCACACTAGCCAAACATCCCTCATACCTTTTATATCTGGTTAAAAATAAAGCAGAAATGCACCTGGAGAGCAAAAGAAAAGTGCAACCAGCTGATATTTTAACAACACCCTCATGAATACTTCACAACATAAAAAAGATGTATTTTTATGTTTCTTTGAGTGCATGACACCCCTCAGACAGTGTGATTATCTTTGGTGAGGCGCCACTGAGCTGCAGGGAAGCTTTGAAGACACGCTTAAGAAGATATAAATAGTCTACTTTCCCTCACTAACCCCCCATGTAGACAACAGACTGATATGGAAATGGTCAGCCTTCCTTTTCCCAGAGAAATCAGACAAATATGTACCCCACCCACCCACAAAATGTCTGCATCTGTATGAAAAATGGTTCCGTTTAAGTTTAACCAAGCATTTGACCGCATCACGAACTTCACATAAATGACTTCTCTATTCATGCAGAGCATTTTTGTCCTGACATGAATCCGTTCTGTAATTATTTCCCATAAAAACTGAATTTGAACTTGACAAATAAGCTGAAAAAGCAGAAACCCTGACTTGTTGATGTTGGATCTATTTATGAACCCAAGAAGCTGGAACGCAGGTCTCATTTGTAAACATGGTATTTGATAGAAAGCAGGAGGTATTACTGTTTTGATGCGTTTCTGTCAACAAGCTAAACAATTGTGAGATGCTAATAAATAAAAGAACATGCATGATCTACAACAAAAGAGATAATCAAAAAAAAAGGGTTTGATGTTTTAACCCTTTAAGATTTGGTACATAAAATAATAAACTAAATGATTCATTATTTAAAATTGAACTATATATTGGCAATTGTTAATTCCAAAAAGTTAAGTAAATAAAATTGTCACTTGCCACAATCTAAGTGATGAAATGTTGACCAACTGGTTCCACTAACCCTGCTCCTAAACGTACATTTACTTATAACACAATATTACTCTTTACGTTTGAAGAGTTGGGTTTAGTGGAACCAGTTCACATAACTTGGTTGACTAAATTCAACATTTCATTTCTTAGAGTGCCTTTGTCATACTTAGATTCCCCACCAGGGGGCAGAACACACGTACAGTAAGTAAAAACAGCAGATTTTTGATGAAAGCCTTAACTCTGAGGCCTTATCCGTAGCAAACGTGAGTCTTTTGCAGACTGAGGACGAGAGATGTGTGAAGGAATTGGTTTTTGGCCATTGTTCTGGTGTGAGGCTCTGATGGTGGGGGTGTGAGAAAAGGCTCTTACATAAGCTATGGAAGAGAGCCTTGCAGAAAGCAAAACAGCAATGTTATTTTTATGAATCACCTGAAATCGTAGCATTTTAACCCTATACAGGAAGTATTATCTTTTAAACACACAGACTCTTTTCTTCTGAAGCATAGCTGCCTAAAACCGGTCTCAACCGCTGTTTAGCACTCACCGAATGTGAATCAGCTGTTTGGGACCCACACAGGGATTTGGTAGCATAAGATACGTCTTTGCTGTTATGAAGAATAAATATTCAGGTGTTTTATTCAGACACTTACATTTACAGTACAGATTTTAACAATTACATCAACTGATGGTGTAGCAGAAGACAATAATACTCATCCACCCTCCTGGGGGGTGGGGGGGCAAAACCTGTATGGGTCGCTGATTATAATTTAACACATTTAATAAACAGCAGCATTCATCACATCTAACTTTATCAATTAAAGGTGGGTTGATATCACTTTTCAGTGTATTTATGAAGAGAGGCACAATTTTATGCTTAAAACTTTCGACGGAAGGATTTTCAACTGAGTCAAAACTAAATTCATGAGGTTACCTTTAAATATAAAGAATAAATGTAAATATTCAAACTCTAAAAATAATTTAAAGTGTTGAAATCTGCATAAAAATGTGGCAGTTCATCAAATGTCATAGCTAACAGCTCAGAGAAATACTGAATTTATAATATTGTAAGTTATGGAACATTCAGCAGTGTTCTTCCTGCACACAGGACCCCTTCACCCCACTTTTATTTTGGTAGGATACACTTGTTTCAGTCAGAATAACGTTTGTATTTAGCTGAAGATATTTAGATTTAGGATCATATTTAGATTTAATTCTACATAATTGGGCTTAACTTTATATATTTATTTATGGAGCAAAATATTAATATTTCACTATTTAAATCTGGTTGTAAACTATATTTATTTTAACTGTTATTATTAACCTAATGTAGAGCTAAATGTGGTAAAACACGGCTGTTTTAAATGTTTTTTCTTACAATCGGAGCCCCATACAGCTGCCCCCCTCCCCACCCCATCACGAGCGCTTTGAAGTTCTGCATATGATTTTCTTGAAGGCTTTCCTGAAGTCCCTGTTGAAGATGGTGTAGATGATGGGGTTCACGGAGCTGTTGCAGTAGCCGATCCAAAAGAAAAGTTTGAAAAGTGCGTCGGGGATGTGGCAGGTGTTCCTGCAGACTGCGTGGAGGCTGTAGGTGAAGAAGAACGGGAACCAGCAGAGAACGAACACCCCCATCACCACCGCCAGCACGAAGGTGAAGCGCTTCTCGCGCATCTGGGCCACTTTGGTTTTGTTGGCCGCGGCTAACTGCTGCCGTTCGGACGGGTTCTTCTGTTCCGGTTGGAGAACCCGGGCCGCAGCCCAGGAGAGGCGGCAGCTCTGGGGCGGGCAGCAGTCCGAACCCTCCACTTTCCTGCGTTTGGTGAAGCGGTGGTGGCGGGGCTTGTTGTCCGAGGAGTAGCTCTCCTCCAGGTCAATGTCGTCCAGCTCCCCCTGCCTCCGCTGACGGCTGCCGGAGCTCTGGCTGCTGGGACTCTCCACCTCGAAGCGGTCCTTCCTGACGAAGCAGGTCTCCGACTGGGAGGGCTCTCTCTCCAGGCCGTTCTTGGCCACGAACACGGTGGAGGAGCGCTGCTTGGCTACTTTGTAGATTTTACAGTAAACCAGAATCATGATGAGACCCGGGGCAAAGAAGGAGACCAGGCACGAGGAGAGGATGTACCAGGTCTCATCGTTCAGCTCGCACAGCCGCTCATCATGTTTAGTCATGACGAGAGGAGGGAAGGAGATGATCGCAGATATTACCCACACCACTGAGATCATGGACTTGATGCGCTTTGGAGTTCGTTTCAGGTTGTAGCTCACCGCCTTTGTCACGGACCAGTAGCGGTCCAAACTGATGGCGCACAGGTGCACGATAGATGATGTGCAGAATAAAACATCCAGGGCTAGATAAAAGGCGCACCAGGTGCTTCCAAAGTACCAGTAACCCATCACCTCATTGACCAGAGAAAAGGGGATGACCAGCGTGGCCACCAGGATGTCCGCTGATGCCAGAGAGACCAGGAACAGGTTCTGAGGCGCGCGCAGAGCCCGACTTGTGAGTACTGCAACAATTACCAACACATTTCCTACAATAGTCACCAAAATGATCACAGTAACGACAACGATGATGAGAGCCGCAGCTGCGTGTGGGTAGGGCGGAGAGGGCGCCGGGCCAGTGGTGTTTTCATCACAGGAGTCGTTTTCCAGCTTCAGATTTAAACTGGTGAAATCCATCCTGACAGAAAACTATTCCTTTGTATCATCTTTGGTGTTTTATGTCGTCTTGTCTTCCCAAAACAGCCACAGTTTGGTGCGCTTTTGTGCCTCGCTCGGAGGAATTCTGCAGAGCGCTGCGCGTAATGCTCCCGGTCAGCGGAGTGATCCCACACAGGACCTGCAGCAACTGATCCTCCGAAATGTTAATGCCTTTCTTGAAAAAATCTTTAAGTAGCTCTGGAAGCCACCAAGATGTAAAAAATTCAGCAATCCATCAAACGGAATCACTTCCTTTATGTGACGTTGTGACGCGTAAAGGCGCGCTCGCTTCGGAGAGCTGCTCGTCTTTGGAGAGGCTCGGGGGCGCTGCAGGGGAAATGAATGTTCTCACAGGAGGGGGCTGACATCACTGAGAGAGAGAGTGAGAGAGAGAGTGAGAGAGAGAGAGAGCGAGAGAGAGCGAGAGAGAGAGAGAGAGAGAGAGAGAGAGAGAGAGAGAGAGAGAGAGAGAGAGAGAGAGAGAGAGAGAGAGAGAGAGAGCGTTTCACTTTGTTCTTTTTCTTTGTGTAACTTCTCTGCAGCCTTCAGGCTGACACTTTCTAACCTGTCATTTTCAGATTTAACGTTTCTGGTCACCGTTCTAGGTTAATCAGTCACTAACAACGTAGGTTATACTAAATGAAAGCATTGACTCGTTGCATTGCAGTTTGTAATGAAAATAGGAAATCATCAGTCTTTTTCTGCTTCACAGAAATTATTATTTTTTCATTAAAGTAAAACGTTTATTTTAATTGAAATAGGTCAGTATTACATTTTAACAGCTAATAGCCATGACACAAATAAACCATCAAATATTTTATTAACCTGATAGCACAGAAAACCTTCAACCGTATAAAAATTAAATCTTGTCAAATTTAAAGTGTGTTTCGTTACTGAGATTATCACTGTTGAGATAGTAATAATAATAATAATAATTACTATCTCAACAGTGATAATCTCAGTAACGAAACACACTTTAAATTTGACAAGATTTAATTTTCATATCGTCTGATTCTCATTCTGAGAGCAATTCAAAGCAAACAGAACAAAACAAGACCAACCAAATAAAAAAATAATAACAAGTTAGTTGCAAAATTGGGGCTGCATTGTGTCGCAGTAGATAGTACTGTTCCCTTGCTCTAGTTGCAGGTTCAAATCCTGCCTGCATCCTTTCTGCAGGGAGATACAGTCAAAGGGTGCGGAAAGGGCATTGTTCTAACTGAAGGGACAAACAAGACATTAACACAGTCCAAGGAATAACATTGGACCTCAGGGAATCGCTGTACCTTTTTCGTTGTCAGACAGGTTTATATATGTTCCTTAGTAGTAAAAGGTATAGATTTGTACCAATCCTTTCAAAAGGTACAATTACTGGTTATGATCTCTTTCACTAAAAACGTCCAAATGCAAATCTACACTTCTGCAAATAGATTTAATAGTTTTACTGTTCACCATTTTGTAAGCACTGAAAGATAGTTGAAAACTGTTATTAATAATACATTTTTAAAATGTGTTAACTAATCAATAATTTTTGAAACGAGACAGTATGGCTCAATTTTGTATTTAAAACATTAATATTAGGAAAACAACAGTTAGTTTTTGATAGCTTTTGACATGTACTATTGATAACAGTGTGTATAAGGTTAGCATAGTAATTGAAAAGTAAATTATTGTAGCAAGTACTTTTGAATTTGTATCTGGGGTCTGATATTTTGTGATCTTATATAAATACACACACACACACATTCTCGTCTAGCATTCGTTTTGAGAAGCGTCATTGACTTTCATCCATTTTAGTGACTGGATTGTGCCTAACCCTGAACTCTAACCCTAAACAGTCTATTCTTAACCCTAACTAAAATGTAATTCACACCATACCTCTAAAACAACACTGTTAAAATTACCAGCATTCCACAATAAGTAACAGTATTATTTTACAGTAACTTGTTGTAATCAACTTTCCCTTCAATAGACCAATGAACCTGTAAGAACTACAGTATCCTTTGATTTCACAGCATGTAACTTTTACTTCACAGTGAAATCCTGCAGTCCAAACCCAGCAGTTATATCACAACACGATCTGTAATATCACAGCAAAAAATGCAAGGATTTCACAGCCTTAAACAGTACTATTAGTCAAATATCATTGTTGACGAGTGTAACCATTGGGTTGCCGAGCAGCTAACGTGTTGACGCGCTCTCAGAGAATTCCAGTTATTAAAGTGATTACAGCGACTTTATTGGTTGTTCAAAAATATTTCCTTCAATCAGCGTTCACAAGCATCACGCAACCAGAAAAATGAACAGATCCACAAAGTAGAGCTAATAATTCATGCAAAAGTCATTTGAGCGGTCAGCAAAGGTTGACTTCCCCTATCACCTGCTCATCATAACAGCCTTCCCACGCAGGTGCGCAACAGGTAAATAACAATTGATAGACACCACGTGACCCGAGACGACTCCTATCCACCACAATCATATTAAAATGAGTCCTGGGGAGCCGTTTTAATGTATTAAGCAGACTGGATATGTATTCCAGATATCTATAATAACATTATTTACACACTGTGGACCCAGATTTTGATTAAGATCAAATTATTTTGTTCACATTACTTAAAAGTTTCTAAATTGTTAACATTACTTGTTAATCCTGAGTTAGATGAGCTGTTTTGTGTCTTTTATTATTGTAATTGTGTTATTAGGTCCAGTCAGTACTCTAATTAAACAAAATGAGTTCAGATTACCTAAACACATTATTTTTTAATAACACTTATAAATTCAAGTAAACTGTACCTTTCAATGGCCTGTCTTATTGTACCTATGTTTGAGCTCAAACTGTCACCGTTTGCACGGTTGCGCCCACCAAAAACCTGGTTCATACCAGTTTTGACCGGGTGCTACTGGAGCGACAGAACAGAGAAGAAGAAAAGTCATATCCCTCCAACATTGGCAACCTCTGATGGCGGCTAGAGATAGCTGAAACATGAAGGGTAAAAAAAAACATTTTTACTAAATCTGTGTAAGAAAAGAACATAAAATGGATAACGAAGATACCCACAGAATGAACGTACAAAAGAGTTACAAAGAGGAAGAACTCAGCTGCACTGAAGTTCTAACAAGCACGTTTCTCAGCCCTGTTTGAAGCTTTAGGTGAATTACCAGAGTTTAGTCAACTTAAAACTGCAATTTATAGATTTAAAAATAACTCAGCCCACTGTGAAAGCTGCATTGGGCAAGGTGCATTGTGGGTAGTCATCTTTTTAGTTTTTTTGTTCTGTTTTGTTTTGTTTATGCATGTTCATTGTGAGGGTTGTGTTGTTCTTAGTTATTGCTTTGTTCAGCGTTGCAAAGGTGCAGTTATTAGTTGTCATGGTGGCACCATAAGTGAGAAGGTTGGTTGATGGAATGGGACCGCTGTTCACAATAAAGTGGTGGTTCACACTAAAGGCACAGTTGTGCTTTTTCAACAAATCCTTATGAATTCATAGACATTAGTGATGGGAACTCCGGCTCTTTTCAGAAAATCGGTTCTTACGGTTCCGCTCACTAAAATGAAACAGCTCCTAAATGACTTCTCACATTTTTTGTTTTGTAAATATCACCAGAAATTATGTGAAATGCGTATGAAATTACTGACCTACAGTTTGATCTACAAACTAACATTACATTTAATTTACATTATTCAAAGGGAGAGTAGGTCAGCTGTGTTCATGATCTAAAACATGCAGGAAACATGCTGGAAGCAGACTGCAGTAGCAGGTATGTCAGCTAAACAGTGGCCCACCACACTGAAGTTTCAAGTGTGATATTCTGGCTACAGAGGGCGGTGGGGTCTGAGTGACTTTTCATTAACCCTGTAAAGGGTCATTTTAGCACATATCGGCTCAAGAAGATTATTTCAAAATGCATATTATCTCTTCAAACCATCTACAGGTGGTTCAGAATGCCTGTGCTAGGCTTCTGACGAAATCGTGAAAATACACTAACACCATCCCGCTTCTCCTCCAGTTTCACTGGCTCAGGTTTCATTTAAAGATCCTGGTTCTGATCAAGACCTTACATGGACAAGCACCATCATACATTGGTGATCTTCTCAGTCCCTACACCCCCAGCAGGTCCCTGAGGTCCAGTGATCAAAGCCTACTGGTTGTGCAGCACCAGGCTAAAGACCAAAGGTGACAGATCATTTGCTGCTGTGGCCCCCAGACTCTGGAAGTCTCTCCCCCTGAGTCTGAGATCAGTGGACTCAGTGGTCTCCTTTAAAAAGCAGCTGAAGACTCACCTGTTCAAGCTGGTTTTTGTGTGATCTTCGTCAGGTTTTATTCATAGGATTTGAAGATGTGTGGTCAGCTGTGTCCTCTCGGGTATTGTGAGTATGTCCTTTTTGTTTTATTCTGTTGTGCTTGTTAAATTTTAAAGTGAACAGAGTGAATTCCCTATTGGCTGTGGGAGTGCACCCTCTTTAAAGCCGGGCGTACACTGTGCGACTTTTTCACTCGCAGCGTTCAGCTTCAGCTCAAACTGTACGACTTCCTCGCAGGGCAGATCTCACGAGTCGTGTGCTCACACTGTACGACCCAGTTCTCGCATGCGACCTGAATGCTCACACTGTACGAGTGGCATGAACTACCGCAGCTAAAAATTAGCCAGTAGATGACGCAACACGTTGGAATTACAAACACGAAGAAGAAAACCCCAGAAGTAAACACGAGGGAAAACAAAAAACAACGCGTTCGGTTACGAGCAGAAAAGCGCTTGCATGCTCGCTGTTAACCGCAATAATGCCCGTGAAAACAAGACGTTTGTCTTTGGCTCTTCTTGCCATCATGTGTGTCGATGAAAAGAAAAAGAGAAGACGAATGTGGACAAAGAAATGGCTGGGCAGACGTTGCCAGTATGGTTTGTCAAATCTACAGCGGGAATTGGAGGTAAGATGTTTGAAATTATCTTTTCCTTATGTAACTACAATTGTATCTATTGACTTAAATTACATTTTGACCAGCTGATGGACTTTGGGGTGGTGGGTGGAGTGACAGCCACCATTTATAATGCTGTTGCATTGGTGTGTGAAATAGATCGATGATATGAAGGGGTTTCGGGACCTTCTCCGCATGTCTGTGGAAGAATTCAACGACCTTCTGGAGAGAGTGACCCCTCAAATCATCAAGAGAGACACACACCTGAGGAAGGCGATCAGTCCTAGGGAGGGGCTCTCTGTGACACTGAGATTCCTTGCAACAGGCAAGAATACACACACACACACACACACACACACACACACACACACACACACACACACACACACACACACACACACTCTGTCTCTCTCTCACACACACATCCAAATCAAGTTTACACATTATGAAACACTTTCTTAATCTTTACAGGTGAGCCCTTCAATTCCTTGTCTTTCCAGTTCAGGATTGGGAGCACCACACTGAGCCGCATTGTGATGGAAACCTGTGCAGCCATAACTCTAGTATTACGTGACGATTACCTAAAGGTAATTTTTTCCCTGCCCTAAAACAGCGCATCTACCCATCACGCTGTGCAGAAGCAATTTATTCACCTGCTGATGTAAATCTAGTGTGTTTGATCAGTAAAAACTGTAAAACATGCTTGATAAGGACCCTCAAGTAACAGAGTGCCATGTGGCACATCACAGATTCATGCACATACAGTTGGAACGTAAAAATTGTTATTGAAGTGTGTTTACATTCTGAGGATTATGAACCTGTTGAGTGATAGTGAAATGTGATGCATTGCACCAGATTTAGCTAGAAGCTAATTTGCAAGTGCAGTCCTGATTAAACCTGAGACTAATATAATGTATCACCATGTACTTCTTCCACAGACACCATCATCTGAGACAGAGTGGAAGGTCATCGCTAAAGACTTTGAAGACAAGTGGCATTTTCCACATTGCATAGGGGCCATAGATGGGAAACACATCTTCATTCAACCCCCTGCCAACAGTGGAAGCACGTTTTATAATTACAAGTCAAGGTTTTCCATCATACTTATGGCTGTAGTTGACGCAAATTATAGATTTGTATATGCAAGTGCAGGGACACAAGGAAGGGCATCTGATGCTGGAGTGTTTGCCCATTCTAATCTCAGAGAGGCTATGGACACAGGCACTCTGAATGTCCCTCCTGATGCAACCCTGCTAGGCACTGACTCCACGATGCCATATGTGCTCATTGGTGATGAAGCATATCCCCTTAGGCCAGATCTGATGAAACCATATCCATCACGAAACCTCAACCATGATCAAAGGATTTTCAACTACAGGCTTTCCAGAGCACGCCATGTTGTTGAGAACGCATTTGGAATTCTGGCCAATCGCTTTTGCGTTTTCAGAACCACAATTTGCCTGCATCCAGACAAAGTTGTTGCAATTGTTTTTGCAACACTTTGTCTCCACAACTTCCTCCGACAACAGAGATCAGATGCCTACACACCACCTGGCTATGTGGATTCTGAAGTTGCAAACCATCAGCTGGTCAGTGGCACATGGCGAAGTGAGGGAGCCCTTCAGTCAGTTTTGGCAAGCAGATCTAGGAACCCCTCAGTGGATGCTAAGAAACAAGGTGATGTGTTAGCCCAGTACTTTGTCTCACCTGCAGGAAGAATTTCCTGGCAGGAAAACATGGTGTAGCTTCATATGCGTTAAACTTCTGTAAATAAAGCGAGAGCATTGGTTCCACTCAGTCATTAGCTCAGATGGTGTTCCTGTCTGGCTGTTAACTTTCTCTGAACAAGAACAAGACATTGATTATGTGTACGGAACTGCATTTAAAGGCTGATTTCAACTCTTAGGGTGGATTCTTTTGAAAATTCATAATGTGTGGGAGTGGAGTGATGCATTTTCTTATGTTTGTAACATTTGTGAGCAGTACATTAAAGAATTTTTCAAAAGAGTTTTTATTTATGAAAACTATTTAAACAATGGCAGATAAAAAAAACAGTAATTTACATATTCACCAAACAACCTGTGTGGGAGAAAAAAGGGCAAACTTTCCCTTTTTAAGACAAAATGATTAAAAAAATACTAAAACAAAGATACTATTGATAAAAGTAATTTACTAGTCTGAGTTGAGCAGGTGTCTGTATGACATTGGCGATGGTGATAGCAAAAAGTTGTCATTCCGTGGTGGCTGGAACTGTTGCATGTGGAAGGAAGGTGCAGGACTGACATGTGGAACAGGACATTGTCCAGCCTGTTCTACTTCTTGTGCATCATAAATTAAGTTCATGATGCTTCTCCTGAGCCTCAGCTGTGAATGTTTGTCCTTGACATTCCGCATTTGTTTCTTTGTTTGTTGCTTCCGCTTCCTAAATTCCGCCCCTGCTTTCGTGTTTGCGCATGCGCCGTGAGCGGTTCTGATACTTTTTGGATCGTAGCTGCTCGCAGTGCCGCTTCAACAGTGCGATACCCTCACGAGGGACGAGCGAAATTTCAAACACACCAGAAGTCCGTGCGACCTCACGACTGCTGATCGGCAGCTGGTCACGTGGTGTTAATCGCCTCTCGTAACCCCCTGTACACTACACGACCGCTCGGCGCAAAACTCGCCCCGATGTCGTGGCTTCTCGCACGACTGGAAAATCGGCTCAAAAAAGTGAAAAAGTCGCACAGTGTACGCCCGGCTTAAGATGAATTCTGGTTTTTGTTTTTCTAGAGTTGGGGTTATAGAGGTTAGCGTTGATGGAAATTCTACCATCTCAGAAGCACCCCAGGGATTTGGAGAGATGGGCTCTCCTGTCCGCTGGTCCATTTGTGCTTAATCAGCCCACCTCTATGCCCCATGAAGACTAGGGTGGAGATCAGCTAGGACTCCTCCGATTTAGCTAGAGGGAATTCTTGTTAGACAAAAGACCTGGGAGTGTTTGATAAAAGCCATGGAGGACAAAGGTGAAAGAAAAAAATGTTTGCAAAAAACACATGTCATTAAAAGTCCTTCATGGGATGGTTGATATCCCGGACGAGCCCCTATTGTGTTATCTTTATATAGAACAGTCATTGTGGACAACACAGAATATGATTGTACACCTGTAGATTGAAAGAAATCTTTTTGTGAGACCAAACTGAATCATTTTTATTAAAAAGTGTAAAAGTCTTGTCTTCTGCATTAGACCTTGGAGTTGCAGCTTCTTGTGTACATGTGCAGAAAAGAAAAGAAAATTTCACTGATACACATCCCTAGTTGACAGAGTGGTGTATGACAGAGGATTCCAATCGTTAAGTTGAATTTGCAGATTAAGACGCAATCACACATTAAGTTACACTGGACCTTGGTTAGACTCTCAACTCCTGTTTGTTAGCCACGCGGTCTCT